TGTTGGAATGATGTTGTCTCCCAAAAACAAAATGTTGCCAGATTGTTTTGCCTTGGGAGCTCTCTCATGTCTATCTTTTTAATACAGTGAATTTTATTGTATGTAAATCACCCCTCAATAGAAAGATCATATGCCTTCAGGATCATATATAGAAAGTTGTCCACATTCTAAGGGGTTGTAGCCTCCACTAGCTGGGTAGGCCCCAATCAAACATGCAGAATCATTAATTAGGGTCATTTGTTCCACTGGGAGCTGAGCAGAATGTGTAAAACCTGCTCAGGAGAGAATTAATTCATCTTCCTCTCTGTACTTTTTCGAGTACTCCTAGCACGATTCTCAAAGCCTGCAGACCTCATGCATATGTTCTAATGGGCTAATTGCTAAGGAGACATTTGTGAATTAATCTCTGACTTGAGCTAAGTGGTTTCCACTAATGGCTTTAATTCAGTGACTCCCATTCTTGGCCACACATCAGATTCACTGGAGGAGCTTGTTAAAAATAAGAGATGTTCGACTTCCCCCTCTCCCCAAGCTCAAAATTTTCTGGTCTCTGGGCAGATGAGGGTGTCTCTGTTTTTCAAGGAAAGCTCTTGTGGTGATTGTATCTGGTGGTAGTCACCTTTGGGAGTACCTGCTTTAAATTCATGTCTGAATGTCCATGTAGCCTCATGTTTATTGAAAGCATTTGAGCCCAAACCTGACAACCTGAAACCAGGTTCTAGATGGACATCTCTGGAGTCAACTTTCCTGGTTCATTCATCTCCACAGTCTCACCCCTGAATCTGTCCTTTCCTTGAACAGCCCCAGTGGCCCAAGGGTGGGCATTCTGTGCTTTGCCATGCTGTTTCGCACTTTTATGAACTTTCTGAGACATTTGAAAAATCCTCAGAGCCTACTGAATTTCCATCACGAAGATGACTGTGAATATTCTCTCTACCCTCCAGTTATCAATGCTCTCCCGGTGGCAGGTATTAGGGACAGGCATTCTTTTAGTACACTGTGTGTGTGTGTTCTTAGCATTCTTCTGTGCAAACACGTCATGTTTGCTCTTGGAGTTTTGAAAATAGATGACTCACAAGCATCATTTTTTCAATGACATTTATCAAATTAATTTTATTTTTAGGAATCTGGAACTCTGTAAACATCACTCAGTACTGAGTATTACCATACAGCCTATGTGTGTTTTCAATAAATGGAAGAATATGGCAGTTAGCACCATGCAAAGTAGCCAAGGTAACTCAGACTATGAAAAGTTAGAAAGACTGTACAGGTTCTAGTGAAGGTCAGTGCAAGATGTACCCTGAGGGGACATGCTGACATTATCGCCTTGGTCAGACTACATTCACAAGCTCTTGTTTTAGATGGTGCTTTATAGAGTGCTTGGTCATTGTAAGGGGTACTCTGTGACTCAGCTGCTAAAGGGTGTTTTCCTGTCTCAGATTCCCTGCTTTTCTTGGCCTCATCATATTGTGTCCTTGGGGCCTCAGTGTCCCTTATCCTTTGGACCATGGAAACATGTGGATGGACTCCCCATGGCCATCTTCCTACTGAGGAGACACAACATGTAGGAAGAAGGGACAGTCTGAGGATAATATTGGGACAAGAACCCCTGTCCCTACTGTTCCTAGCTTCTCCTTCAGGTATGCTACACCAAATCAATAGCTTATGTATTGATCAGACCAATACCACACAATTGAACACTGATTAGATACTAGCATCGGATTTATCTATGTAAGGATTACTTTAGAAAGGATTGTATTTTATGACTCCAAGTGGACATTTTTCTTTTGTTTTTCCTAGCGCTTGATGCATTGCAGATGTGGAATAAATACTTAGATGATTATTTAGGGGTACTCTATAACATAACTATTACCATTTTTGGCTAAAGTATAACATTTTGTAGAGTAAAACTGATCTTTATTTAAAGATGAGAGAAAGAGAGAATGCATCCTTTGCTAAGGCTTGTAGAAGATGAATCTCTGTTGGATTCCTGTTTTCATGGCCAAATCTAAAGGACCTATTTATTTTCTGTAGCACTTGGATCCAGGCTGACAGTGTAATCAAGCCTGACATGATAAAGAGGCATTTAGCAAGTTTAAAAATCACATGCACAGTTGTTTCAATATGGAGAAACAGATCTTCTGCCCATCGATCATTTCATGTCTGGAGGCAGGTGGGTAGGCAGGAGAGTCTGAGCAACCTGTACGTCCTTGAGAGAAGGCCTTCCAGCTGAAGATTAGGACCCAAGCAGGGGCCCACTCAGCAGAATCTTTAGTTGCTGAAGATTTGGAGGTATCTGTCTTCGGCATGTCTTACCTCCCTTGCCTTACTAGAGAGATGCTGATATTTGAGTTTGCATCTTAAGAGGATAGCAGGATTCCCTCCCTCCTGTCACTGGCTGATTTGCTTAAGTAAGCTGCATGCTATTTTCTATCACAGGGCCAGTGGGAGGCCCTGGGAGAAACTAGTGTCAGCTACTTTGGCCTTTCCCAAGGCTGGGAAATCATCGCCACTGCAGGAGAGCGTGGATTTTGAACTCATTTCAGAATGATGTAGATGCCATTTGCAAGGACTTCTTTCCTTTTTCTCCTCCTCTCCTCTCTCCATGCATTCCCCCCTGTCACCCCCACTTTCTCCTCCTTTCCTCTCTAGCTTTTAATGGAATAAGCCTGTGTCTGCAGCTTGACTGAGGCTCAGCATTCATACACATGCACGCACACACAGCCAAATTGACAGAGATTAGTTTTGAATCATCTGTTTATGAATGAAGAAGAGGTCCTTCCCCTCTGTACTGGCCAAACCCCTTCTCTTTGCAGCATTTTGAGAATGAGGTCAGGGCTAGGATCTAACTGCTTGTCTCAGAAATAGCACAGATCAGAATTAATCTTAAGCTATTTGTTTTATTGCCTCATTCAGATAATAAAGGGAAAAGCAGAGGACTATTTGTGTTTTTTTGTGTGGGAGGTTTTTCCGTGCATAACTGTGCAAGGAATGAGTGAATGAATGAATGAATGAATGAATGAACAAATGTGTGTGAAGGGAGAGGCTGAGGTGAGCTGCCGGTGGTTTTGCACTGGGTTCATGGTAATTACTGACAGACTGCAGGAGTTTTCTTGGATTCAAGTGGGACATGTTTTAGAGTTGAATAAAACTGAAGAATAAAATTGGCCCCAGTGGTGTCTTAACACTTCTTCTCATATGGATAATTTATCAAGTGCTGTGGAACTACATAACCCTTTCACAGTGTCCAGTTGTTTCACCTGTCAGCTTTTAGTGTGTAGCTCGCCATCCCTCCCCAGTAGCTCCACAGAGTTTTCAATTATTCAAAATGAATATGCAGATTTCATTCTCTGCCAGCCACTGTGGTGCACACACAAGTACAGGTATGTGTGAGTGACCCACCCACATGCACACACATGGCTTAATTTTACCTAATCTTTTCATAAACTGGAATTTATCCCACAGCCAGTGCCAGAGGGATATTAACAGATACTCTGAGGAGACCGATACTTCTAACCCCTTTCAATTTCTAGTCCCTTTAGAATATTCGCAGGTCTGAAAGGTATTTGTGGTCCTCTGGCATTGTGTGTGGTGGTGGTGTTTATTTTTGTTCTCAAGGCTAATAATCATTAACTCTTAGTGGCTGTTTTATATTTGAACATCCTTTGAACTGGACCACTACTCTCCTCTGTGAAAGATTAAATCAACAAATTAGAATGTTGAGCAAGCAGAGAGGTGTCAGTATCAGCCCGATCTGCTACATATTCATTTGATGGACTTTCGTGTGACAGGTATCCTCTGACCCACCCACCTGTCTGGGCAAAGGAGATGCCCACCTGTCTTTTCTATCAAAGGTGATTACTTTTGAGCGAAGAGTGTGAAGGAGAGTGAGGATTTCCATATAGCTGGCCTCATGTGTTTCCTTATTTGGTGTCCTTCACCTAAGTGGTTTCTAAAATACTTAGAACTCTCCTCCACCCCCACGCATGGATGTTTGTAGAAGCACCAAATTTGTGCTTTTCTTTTCCCCCTATATTTTACTATAAGTTTATTGAAACAAATACAACTTGAGATCAACATTATAAGACCCTCTCTATCTAAAGGACTTACTCATTTGCCTGGATGAACTGTTAGGCGCTGAAAGAACAAAGCTATAGCCAGATGTTCCTGGCTTCCAGAAATCAGTGGGAAAGAGAAAGTATGCTTGGTTCTAGAAATAATAGGATCTGTGAAAAATCGTTATTAAATTTTTGGTGTGACATTGTTTAATAGAATTATATAGGTTTTAGGTATACAGTTATCTAATACATCATCTGTACACTGTGTGTTCACCATGTGAAGTCCAGTCTAAAGTCATGCTTTTCAATTGATATTTTTCATGCAGAAACAAAGTGAATTAGTGAGTGTCTAGGGCTGGGGTGGGAATGGGAACTACCTGTTATGGGCACACAGGATGTTCTTGACAGGACAAAAATGTTCTGAAGCTACAGCACAGTGATGGCTGCACAGCTTGGTAAAGTCATTCAAAGTCATTGATTGCATTGTATGTTTAAAATGGGTGAGTTTTATGGTATGTAAATTATACCTCATTAAAGCTGTTAAAAGTTGGTATTCCTGTATTTGAGTGCCCTTGGGGCCTAGATTGCATATAGTATGAAAATTATATCACTCCAAAATTTTACCTGCTCTTTACCCACTGAAGTGTTTTAACTTCAGTTGTGAATAAGCTTCACCCTGAGGTAACAGGGCCAAATAAAAAGCCGGAGCCTAGGATGCAGGAGTCTGCCCCAACTCCTGTGGGCCAGCAGTGAGATTGCTGCCCACCGCAAAGTAAGGAGCCCACACCAGGGGGCAAGGGCGTGAGATTTCCAGGCAGGCCCCAGATGGCAGTTGGCACCATGTTTCTGAGCTGTGGCTATGACATGTGTCGTAAAATTAAAAAATAAACATCCCGGTGTTGTTCAGCCCTTAAGTGACAGCATTTTTCTCTTGTTTTGCAGGTTGTCTTAGTCTTTGCTCTCAGCATTGGTGCACTTGTAATATACTTCATAGATTCGTCAAAGTGAGTATTCAAATTCATTGTCGTGCCCTCTGTTTCTAACACAGTCATGAGCCTTTACATCGATCAGTGATTTACTTTAACACCGAGCTTTACAAGAACCTCCTGAGTGTGGAAGACCTTTGGGGAAGGCAGAGCTGTTTGTGCCGATTTTCTGAATGGGAATGCAAGCTCTCACAAGGAAGGATTCTGCTGGCTATGAGAGGGAAAGAAGGGTATCTGAGTTCAAGCCATTTTGCTGGGTACCATTTATTTTTAAATAGCTATTTCCTGATGAAGCATTTGCACTGAAGATGTCAAGAGGCTTGGATGTGCATTTGCAACCTCTGAGAAGTTATAGTGTCCAACGGGTGAGGGGCTGAGCTATTCTTGCCGAGGTGTGAGGGTTCTTCCCTCTTTAAGAGTTTCCAATGCTTTAATGTTATTCACGGTCAGTTAGAAAGTGCTATACTATCCCACCAACCAAATATTCAGCTGAAGCATTGCCTGCTGGTGCTTCTTGACTTGGGAAGGTAAGGAGATGGGACAGAGGAGTTCATGATGACTCCCAGAGGTGGAGGACCATGGCCATCTGAGAATTTCTGGAGTGGACACTCATGAAGATCCTCAGGTGCCTGCAGGGTGAACTGCTGCTTCACGGTGGGCCTGTGGTGGGGTCCATGTGACAGATGGTAAAGGCTTTGTAGGAGGCAGAAGTCACTGAGCAGAGTGGCTAGGCGTGGCCAGGTCTGCCCTGGTTCCTGCAGGCATCACCCCTGCAAGAATCATTTGTTCCAACTATTCTATAGCAATCTTGAAGCTGACAGCACCTGGGAAACTGGAACTGTGCTGGCCCTACCGGCCCTTCTGTGGTGACATGAACTTGACACTGGACAGTGGCCTTGAGCTCTGTTTGCCCTTTTTACTATGAGAGTGTTTCTTACTCCTTGAGCTCTATCCCTGGTATGACTGGATACTAGAGTCAGACCCCAGGAAACCTCCTTCATGTTCCTGTTGGCACAGGCCCTGATGTTTCTGAATTCTGAGCATGTGTTCTTTTTCTGTAGCTCAGGATGGTAATACTTTCATACACACCTAAACTCTGAATTTCTCAGAGGCATCTCATCACCAGCCTAAGGATTTTGTGCACATGGATGCCAAGACCAAAATGTCATGTTAGGGAAGATAAAGAAAGTATCATCTCCAATTACTTGTCTCTGGGAATCAGCCTTGTCTGAGACTATCAGGCCCTTCAGTCCATCCCCACTCATGAGGCTGGGCTGCCCTCACCATCTTAGGTGGAGGGGCCTTTAAAAGTTCTCCAGGAGACAAGATTCATCACACTTCTCCATCAGCTCTTCCTGGCCAAGAAAGAGAAGAAGAGCTTTTCAATTTGGAAAACTCCAAGTGGGATGTCATTGAAGGTAAGCCCCTTCTAAATATCTACGCTTAATAATTTTGATCTTATTTGAATGGAAGCAAAGATCTTTTAAAGCCCCTGGTCTTATTTCTCCATTCTCTCCCCAGGTGTGAGCAGTGTTCTCATATTCCTGGGGATGCAACCCTGCCAACTTCCATGCCGGGGCTCAGTACATGGGTTTGGGCATGTGGTTTGTATGCCCTAGACCGAGCAAGCCTTACGTGGAGGCAAGTGTGGCTCTTGGTTAGGAGGACAGATGCCTCAGCACCTTCTTTCCTTTGCCTCCCTTCCTGCTCCTCTGTATTTCTCAGTTAAATAAAATACTCTCGTTGGATGGGTCTGAGTTGTGTACTTCTTTACAGCATCTACTGTGAAGCAGTCTTGCGCACTTTGATCCTGGCGGACTTCCACGGGCAAAACCCTTTTCCTTGGATGCCCTACACTCCCGCAGTGCCCTTTGGATTTTGTTCTGATTGTGCTAAGCCTTGGGGAAGCTGGCATTGTGGGTCCTCTCAGGTTCAGGTTCTTTTATGGACTTGCAGCAAGTTTATTCCAAGGATGCACCTTCCATTCTGTTCTCAGCTTTTCCCAGCAAAAGTTCGAGTAGTCTGAGAACCAAGACTGTCCTCACTCCCCCTGGGGACTAGCCTAGCCTCATCCTAAACTTGGTCTTTCTTCTTCGTCACTAGACTGTGTGATTTGGCATAGAGAGATTTTGTACATAAGAAAAACTTGTGTGCCTTTACGTAGCCCTTTCTGCTTTTCATTTGCATTACTTCTTTTGGTTCTGACACCATATACTACTGTGCTGTCCTGTGGGTGCCCTGATGGGCAGAGTCAATACCAAGAAATCTGCTGTCTTTATGGGGGCAGCCAGCAAACATGTTTAAGTAAGGGGAAGAATTAAAGTGGAATCTATAAAGTGACCTTTATGATAAGTCTACAGAGTCCCAGGGATAAAAAAATAAAAACAATCTATTAGGCAAACTACAGGCAAAGAGAACAAGATAAAATGAAGTTCTATCCACACATAAAATGCAAATGGAAATCGGGGAAGAAAGCAGGCTGTTAATTCTTAAAGTTCTTCTTTTTTCATTCAAAACTGTCATTGGTTTTACACACTAGTGGTGTTGCTGGCCACTTGGAAAGAAATGGGCATCTCCGAAAGAAAGCTTTAAACTTCTTGGAATTTATATAAAGTCATCATTCTGGAAAAAAGTACCCCCCATTCTTCCATTGAAGTTGAGTTAGTATTTATACCCTTCAGATTAATAAGTAACTTAAAACACAATCCATAGACTTTCCCTTGTGTGGTCCTAATTGGGCAGACATTGCCTAAGAAACGGCTTGTTTCGATAAGTTTTAATCAGAGCTGGCCTCCCCTAGATGGTGGGGAATACCCCAGCAACACAAGTTCAAGGTGTGACACTCTGCAGGTTTAGTGTCAAGACAGGCCAGTTCAGGTTGTACAAGAGGATAGGTGGTCTGGGTGGTCATTCCACTTGTGTGGGGCAGCAGATGAGGAAGGCACTTCAGATAAGTGTCATAAGTAATGGGTGTATGATCTTTTTAACCCTTCCTGCTTATTTTACTATCAAGAGGCAGTGGCTAGGTTATTTCCAAATATGTTCTCAACTACACGTGTTTGCCTTTCTGTTGTCAGGCCAAGGTAGTCCCTGAGCAGTAAGGCTTTGAGAGGCTCTTCTTTGGGTCTTAATTTTCCTAGAGTGATCACCACAGAAGAACCACTTGTGCAACATCGAGTGATTACTATCTAGCTAAGACCGATTATTCTTGCAATTTCTGGAGTTGAAAGCCAAAGAGAAGTACATTAAACTGTGTTAAAATTATGCTTCATCATCGCAGTGGTAGACTCTCTAGAAACACCCAAGCAGAGGATAGCTGTTCCACCAAATCTTTGGCTAGATGTCAATGCCAATTCCTTAATAGATACAGAGATGCATTAAGCCTGCCACACACAGTAATCCCAGCCCCCAGGAGGTCCCCTTAAGTTAGCCACATGAGACAGTTACTGTCCAAAAGAAAAGAACTACATTTCTTTGTCATTCTTTTTAAAGCCGCTGTGCCCAGTTTAAGGCACACCCCACTCCAACTCCTAATTCCTATGTCTCCCAGTGCTTACACCAACCAACCCTTTCTTCTTACACTCTGATAACTCCAAGAAGCAAAGGTTTTTTAAAAAAATGTACAACTAAGTCAAAAGTTATTTAGATGTTTTGTGGGTGATAATGTCACTGTGACTGGTTCCATCCCTTCCTGTCTCCTCCCTTTGACAAAGGAGCAATAATTTTTCCCTAATAGATAAGGAAAAAAGCCCCAAGATGTCAGTGTGAGGTCAGCACCCATGGATTGCATTATGCAGCAGTTCCTGCTGCTTCTAGAACTTCAAGAGAAAGTTGGAAAAGAAAAAAACTCAGGACCCTTGCTTCTTTGCACTTTTTTCAGGGGCATTCTGGGATAGGATGACTCACCTGTGTGAAGATATTTATTCCTTTGATTCATGTTTAAAGTCTGCTACTTTTTATGCTATAGTTACATGAATTATGAATATTTAATCCTGCATATACTGAAAATGAAGGTCAACTCCTGCTTACTGGTGACTTCAATGCAGACTCCTGTCTCTGAAAGGCAAGCTACCTGCTGTTAGCAGAGTAAAGCTGAAAGGTTATACATTGTTAAAATTTTCCTTAATGACTTTATTTGCTCCAAAATGGCTGATACACAGTGGGGGGTGCCTACTGCTTTCTCTTGGCTCCTGGTATCAGCAGTGCTTTGGGGGATGCACTCATTAGGAAAGAGGGGGAAACAGCAGCACACATTTTGGAGAGACATCTAATTTAAGGGCTGGGTTCCAGGGAAACAGTGTGGTTTCGATGTGAAAATGGTCTTGCCCTAGTCTTTAAAATTTTAAGTTTGTATTGAGTAATTCATTCATTTTGTGTCCAATCATTCATTTGAAACATCTTCAGTGTGATAATGCCAAGTGACTATTTTTCACATTGTAAAATTGCTATGGTTAGTTACGGTCAAGGAAAACTGCTTTTAAGATAGCAATAGAAATTGACCGGACTGTTATAGTCTCTGATAAAGAAACTGGCACTAAGGATACCCAGAGCTTTAGCAGAAATGGCCAGTCACTCAACTATTATACCTGTCCCAGTCTTCCCATGCCAGGCTCTCTCTCTTCCCCAGCCTAGACATTCTCCTCAAAAAGAGAGGGGCAGGTGGTTGGGGAGAATAATATTCACTGATCATGTGCTTTTTGTGAAGTATAGTGCTAAGCACTTTAAACTAAATAATACATACAATCCCACAGAAGTCTAACAACTTGATAGAGTAGGAATTACAGCATTCCCACTTTACAGATGAGGAAGCCAAAGCTGCAACATTGGCCCAAAACCACATAGCTAATAAATTGTGGAACCAGAATTTGAATCCAGCATATCTCAAGGCATCATCTCCCTTCCAGGTGTCAAGAACTGAGATCCCAGATTGAGGAAGTGATTAAATGGGTTTGATGAGAAGTTGTAAGACTGAGAGGTCCCTCCACCTCATCCTGCTGACTCTCTTGCCTTGTTTTCCC